TCCCTCCCTCCCTCCATCTGTCCCTCCCTCCCACCATCCATCCATCCATCCATCCATCCATCGGTTTTGCTTAATTTTATTTCCAGTTCCCCTTGAAGATATATTGTTGGCTGCTCAAGAGAAAGTCCCAACACTTATTGGTGCAAAGTTTTCTCATAATGATTTGGCAGACATGGGACGAAGCTTGACTTTGTCACAGGGAAAATATCAAGTGTCGTATGGTGGAGATGGGGTATGTTGTTGTCAATGGTGATAAAGTATATCATAGAAAAATCAAACACCCCCTTTTCCATTTATTAAGGAGGGAAAATAGTATTGTTTATGGAGCCCTTGTCAAATCTACTCAATCTTGTTAATATTTTGTAGAAGCAAAACACACTGGTGCTGTTTTACAATATTAAACTTAAAAGGTTGTTTTCTTTCCTGGATGTGACATGGTGATGCAATGTTTACCCATTTCAGACCACATGTCGTTCCTTAGAGTGTGGTTTCTTTGTTTAACAGCTGTGCATGAGAATATACATGAATATGGGTACATCTCAAACCAAGGGTAATGGATGGGAAAACATTGCACCACAATGAATTAGGTCAATGCTGAATGAATTGGAACCCCCATCCCAGCTCTATCCTCTCTGGATAAAAAGCCTCCTGATTACAGACGGTCAATTTGTCATTCTTTTGTCTTCTAGAACCTTATGAAGTGAGTAGGAGGCATTTTTTAGGATGCAAAATTTAACCTAAAACTGTCACATCTTTAAATCGTGACAGAATTGTTTTCCAACTAATAAAGTTGTTAATGCATGGACATAGTTGAAACATTCCAGAAAAATAAACTAAAGGTGTCTTTCTAAAGTGAGTTTTGACGAACCAATGGATGAACTAGAATGCAAATAACATATTTATTAATGAATTTTTTTAACAGATGATTCTGGGAGCTCTCGCAATGGGTGCTGTCTCTTGTGTAGGCGTGTATGTATCTTCCAAGCGGTAGCAGTTTGTAGTATTAGATTTTAAAGATGCATCTTCCAGCTTTGTCCCTTATTGCTGTGTTTAAGGTGACGTCATATCCTGTCCCGTGCAGAATGCTCATCAGCTATATATCGCAAGTTGTCAAATTTTCACAGGGCCCCATTGAAAAACTCCTTAGAGACATGGGCACCCTACCAGCTGAGCGATAAATTTTGTTTCAGCCAATCACAGCGCGTTAGACTGTTTTGCTGCTTCTTCCTCATTCCCAGGCTAACCCAACTTTTGCATATTTTTCTATTTTTGGGCCGGTGATTTTATCCACTCATGCTTTGCGCGCCGCGTTTACCGCTCAGCTGGTATCTAAATATTATAACCGATAAATAGATAAAAAGAATCTAAAACGTTTTTTTCTAAGAGGGATGTAACTCTTTGCAGGTGTTTCAACCTTGCGGGAAAAACAGCAAGTGCTGTTTTTAACGCGTTTAACAAAGGAGACTTGGAGATAGCGAGAAAACACCAAGTAAGAGAGCGTCGCATTTCGTTAAGGACCTTTCTCACTCCTAAACCAAGCTCAACCACAACAGTATATTTTTCCCGCGTTGCCCTGTATTCAAGCGCTTTGGAGTGAGGTGTGTGTGATTGGTTTCTGAGTCGGAACCATGAATCACTTAACTTTCTTTCTATAATTCCCAAACTTCTTTTTCGTTTGATTTTCTTCGTTCTCTTTAGAATCATCCACCCCCTGCATGCCCTGGGTTGCAGAGTAATCGAAGGGCGAGCGGCGGAGACAACCATAGGTTACCATCCCATCCCCCCCCCCCCACACACACACACACACAACCACC